TTTGTCGTTCGAATTTTGAATAAGTCCTAAAATTGGCCACAACTGAGTATTGGAACTCTTAAATAATGGCAATCCATCTACGTTAAAAGTTAGATTAATAATTGAATTAACAAAATTTAAATTATGCGTCAAATGTTGTTCAATGGCATTTTGAAGTCCCATATACACAAATTCTCCTGTTTCCATCATTTTCACATTGATTTTTGAAGGAGTTTTTAGCAGAGTTCTCACATCAAGAGGCAACTCAGGATGTAAAGGTACTAAAATGTGCAACAATGAATTAATGGCCACAAGTGGAACATTCACGTTTGATATAGCCCATTTTCTTAAAGAATTCCATAAAGAATTGTTAGAAGATTCTTCAAACTTTGAAGAATTATTACCCATTACTTGTTCGCTATCAGTACATTTAAAATTGACAAAATCAAAATCGGAATTTTCAAAATTAAAAAGATTGTCACTACTTTCGTTTCTATTACTAATGATATCTGATAAATCGTCACGATCATCACTTGAAAACGTATGAGAAATTCCAATATTAACTTGTTTATTTGTTACTTGTGTACATTGATCAATTAAATGTAGTTTTGTTTTACTTCTGGTAGTCGTACAATTAGACTTAACAATTTCATTAATATCATTTGCAACTCTTCGGTACCGTTGTCTTTTACTAATAAAAACTTTAGGCATATTGGTATCAATATGATAACAAAACGATAAAATTGGAATAAATTCTTAAAAATAAAAAAATATGTTTTACGATGTTATTAAATATCTATATAGAATTTCTTTTTCTTTGTATAGCCAAGCGTTGGGGAGAATGCTTCAACCATATCTTAATATTTTCATGAATGTTACTTTCAGGAGTGTTTGGTGATGACAATTGCTCTGCACCTGAAAATTATAATTACTTTGAAATCATCATAGTCACCACATACATTACATGATTAATTTAAAATTATATATATATATAAGTAAAAATTTAACAATAAGGTAAACCGTTGTAATAAATATACTTAATAATAAATATTTAAAAAAAACTTTTCTTTATTATTTTTATTTTATCGCTAAGATTTGTCAGTTTAATTCTTTTCTTAAATTACAGATCTCATTTTATTATTATTTTAATTAGTTTTATTTCCAGTCATAATAAATAACTGTAAATAAAAACGAAACTTACGTATTATTAATCTGTGTAATCGCAATGCAATAAATGATTTTTTATTATTTCTTGTACCTAAAAAGCTATACGTTATAGCGACTTCATTCGATAACATGTTGCGAAGAATGGTATTGGTTTTGGTCGTTATATCACGTCCTCCCAGAGTAGATAAATATAAGCTCTGTAAAAAAATGTTTTAGTAACAAAACAAAATATTCTGGAATTAATTATAAAAATAATTACTAGAGTAGAAAGATTGTCATCATCTGTTAGATATTCCTCAATTCTACCAATATCTTCCAAACTTTTAATTGGTATAGTAATGGGCAATTCTAGAAGCTCATAGATTGCAGATTCAAGTCCTTGTTTACTTTTTAAAGATTTGAAAATTTCTTCATTTTGTTTTAAAATTTGCTCATTTTGTCGTTTGATGTATGTGATTAGTTTCAATAAAGTTTTAATATTTGCAGTTTCTGTAAAACATAACCGTAAAAGACAAACTACTCTACTTAAATAGAAGAAAAAAAATAACACATACCATGAGTCAACACATCTTCATTTTCATAACGATAAATATCATAACAGTAAGATCCAGATTGTCGTGAAGTTGAAGGTATTCCTGCTGCTATAAAAAAATTTTTTAATAAAAAGATCGTTTAAATGTAAATGCTGATTAGGATTTTGTGTGGATTAGTTGAAAATATTACATTTTTTTTCTAATAAAAGTAATAAAAAACAATGTTTTATAAAATTTTATCAGCTAAACAACAGTTTTATATGTTATATAAATGTAATATTATAATTAAAAAATCTTTAGTTATAAAAGTATTTACAAAATGAGTTATTTTGATAAATTTCTTTAAATTTTTAAATCAAATAATTATGGAGGTACAGTGATGGAGGATAAAAAGGCTGATAGACGGACACGCACGCACGCACGCACGCACAGACATATGTATATAGGCAGAACGAAATTATAAGGATGCCTGTAGTTAATTACTACGGAATTCTAAACATGCTAAGTAAGGGAAAGTTATACAAAACCACAGGTACCTATTCAAATGAGCCTAAAATTTCACACCAAAAAATGTTACATATTCACAACGCTGTTGTAATGCAACTTTTGTGAATTACTTTAATCGACAATGTGAATATCTGGCATTTTCTGACACAAAGTTTGAATAAGTGCCCGAAATTATTATCACACTTTATCACTACTATTATCACATTTACTACGATATTATCCTCAAACGTAATCTTTGGGAAGTAGGTGTGCTTGTTAGGGCTCCGCACAGTCAAAGGAATAGGGAACAGAGAATAAGAATTTTAACCTATCAGAAATCATGTACTGTGGAATAGACAGATAAGTTGAAATTCTTATTCTGTTCTCTGTTCACTGTTTCTTTTATTCTGCGCAGCCCCTTCTGTGTGTGTTACTAGAAAAAAATAAAATAAAGTTAAATAAAACTATACAAAAAATTCAAACTTACTATTGTTACAGTTGTTTTCTGCTTCCCCAAAATGATTACGCTTTAAGGATTTTCCACTATCTAGATCAACAAAATTGTAAGTATTAATAACATTTCAATAGTATGGTTTACATCGTAAACTTTTAATTGTTACGCGTACTAACTAGTTACTTTCTATTAAATTATCTTAATTTCAGCAATGTATTTAAAGAATAATGTATAAAATTAATACGATACGCAGTAAAATGTTTAACTAAATACGTTTATTGTGTATATATTTACATATATCGCTGAAATTAAGATAATTTAATAGAAAGTAACTAGTTAGTACGCGTATCAAGTGCACGATGTAAACCAGGCCAATAAGTTTAGTATATACCTACTATAGTAAACTCACCAGGTACAATAATCTTTTGTTGTACTAGAGATTGTACAAGCGGAGGACGTGCAAGTATTGTCGATGACAACTTTTTCGTTTGTAGACAATAATCATTTTCCTCTTCCTCTTCCTCTTCACTACTACTACTTTGAAGCCGCTTTGGACATTGTCTTTTTCGTTTCAAAGTTACTTGATTTTCTTCTATTTCACTGCCTACGTCAGACGTAAACTGTAATTTCTTAATTTTGGCATTGGCCTTAATTAGGTCATCTAAAAAATACGTACATTAAAAATATATGTCAAAGTAAAAGATAGATATGATATATTGATTGATTGATATACGGTCTAAAAAGATTAGATGTAAAAGCATAATAACCTGTTTCAAAATATATTCTTTTAATTTTATATAGCTGCCACTGTTCATCTGGTTCCTCGCCCTTTCTTAAACATTTGTTGAATAGGTGTTGCTGCTTAATGTGTTGTGGCCAAAATGATTCTTTTTTAAGCGGTGTTAGCCATGATTTGTGCACGACACCAAGGCCACCTTCATTTTCGTTCTCCAAGGAAAAAAATTCTACACCAATTAAAGCCATTATATGATAGTGAGGATAGTTTGTTGCAGATAATTGAGACAAATCTATTGAAACAATCATATAATCACCGAATTAATTAACGTCGAATTTTTATTGACTACCAGCGGGCGGCGGTAGGCGCGAAACTTACATGAAGTCACAGCCGAAGATAAGAAAACACAATAGTTCAAATAACACACTGCAATACGTTTACACGAAGTATCGAAATCGAAATCAAAGTAATAATGTGCCGAGTAGAAACTCGTCACGATAATATAACGTTTATAAACGTAGAAAAACATATATTATGGAAACCGACTGATATGGCTCTTGCTCTTGCATCAGAACACAACAAAATGGCCGCGTTCAGCAACTCAACTGTTGCGGAACGGATCCGTGAGCGTTCGCTGCTATTGGTGTATTTTTTTAACTAATAATAAAGGCTGTGTTCGGAAATGCACTGCCAGTACTGAAAATCTATAGTTCACGTTACGTATACTATAGATTTTCAGAGTACTGGCAGTACATTTCCGAACACAGCCAAAGAGAGACAAGAGTATACTAGAAGCCTAGAAAACAGAGATGCGACATTGCGTCGGTTAGGTAACCACCGCCATTTTAATTCAATATAAGTGCTCTTGACCAATAAGCTGATGACAGTTGATGCAAAAGGTAGAAAGATTAGATTAGGTTAGGTTAAGTCCGATATTAAATATTCACACAAATAAGAATACTTACATCATAATAATAGTTTTTTATTGCACTTCGACACTGTATTGTCTAAATTTTTCTCTATATGTATATGTACATATGTTATAAAACTATATATCTATTAGATGCAATAGTGAATTAAAATGGCTCTCTGATCACGTGTTTTAGACAGCCAATAAAGCCATACCCTTCAATGACGCATCTCTGTTTTTAAGGTCTCTAGAGTATACGAGCAAATAAAAATTCGTTAAAATATTTAATTTTTTATTCTAATATATTGCGAAGAATATTACGTAATTTTTGTATTCTTTTAGATCATCCAATAACAGTGTGAGCGTTTATCGGACGTCATTCTTAGATATATTACTATTGTCGTCATATATATTATAATAATTTATAATAATGGTCATATATATGACGTCAATGTAACATCTAGCTGACGTCATATCGGTGACGGCAATTTTTGGTATTACAAATGACGTTAAAATAACGTTCCGTTTATGTCATTTCACGTCATTGTCATCAGAATCACTTCATAATCACGTCATTATCACGTGAGCTTGCTAGCTGGGATACTGCAAAAAATAAGGTAATAAAGATATCTTATTTATGAAATTTTTTATTAAAAAATTTACTTATACCATACAATATGAATAGTGAATAGTGTTTGTATTTAGTTTTTTTTCAAAGTAACATTATTCAATTCATTACCATCTGTGGCAGAAATCCCATTGCCAAGAAACTGCTCCTTCATTTAGAAAATAGTTTTTAAAATTTTCCCTTATGGCATTTGCTTGGCGAGAATGAGTATTACTACCATCATTTTGTAATGATGCTAAGCCACAATTGTTTTGTATCACTGTTCTCCATTCTCCAGAAGTAGGTTCCTTATTACGACGAGGTTCATCAGCAAAACCTTTGCTACAATATCCTACTTTATCCATACAATAATTATGCAAAATTACACAAGCTTTTACGATACTTTCAGCTGTTTTTAGAGATGTTGTAATCTTTTTTGCTAAAATAGTCCATTGTGCCACCATAATACCAAATGTATTTTCTATAACTCTTCGTGCTCGACTCAATCGATAATTAAAAATTGCTTGTTCATTAGTCAATGTTTTCCCTGGATATGGTCGTAATGCGTAATTATTTAATTGAAAGGCTTCATCTGCAATCAACATGTAAGACATAGGTTCTCCTCCTTCAATAATTGGGGTTGGAGATGGTATATACATTTGATTATGCTGGAATCTATAACCCATGACAGAATTTTTAAAAATTCCTCCATCACTATGTCGACCTTCTCCATCTATATCTACCATTAAAAATTTATAGCGTGCTGATGCTATTGCCATTAAACTAATGCTGTGATTTCCCTTATAATTATAAAAGGTCGAACCGGAATGTGGTGGAGCCTACAAAACAAAATTTTTAATTAACGAGTATTGATTTGTGCATAATAAAATTATTGAATATACAGTATAGATTACCTTTACATTTACATGTTTACCATCTAAAGCTCCAATACAATGCGGAAAGTTCCAATCATTTTCGAATTCTTTTACAACTTTTTTCCATTCACTTTCAGATGGTTGAAACAGTTCGTTTTGAAGAACATTCCACAGACTTTCGCATGTCTCTGATATTATCTTACAAGCAGTATTTTGTCCAACTTGATAAGCAAAGGCAATTGAAGACATAGTGTCTCCAGTAGCCAAAAACCTATAATAATACAAAATATAATATCATAACATTAATAAACGCATACATTAATATTGTTTAGAACATACCTCAATGTTAAATATAGTCTGCTACGTGCTGGTATAGGTTTCCGATAATTTGTTGGCATCTTTTCTATATGTGGCTGTACTATACGTAATAAATTGTCAAAGCCTTCAACGGTAAGACGCGTGTATTGGAAATGAACCTCTACATCGTAAAGTCGCATTTCATGAATTAAATGATCACCATCACCTTGGTGATTACGCTTTTGATTAATAGGCCGGACCCACCATCGCCGTTTTCTTCGATAATTAATGTTAGTTGTTTTTTTTAATTCGATATACCACAACGCTAAGAGTACCTTTGTATTCATATCAATTTTAATAGCATTTATTTGTATAATATATAACAGAAGTAACAAATGTCTCCACTGTTTATCCATCATTACTTAAAAATCATACCTTAAAAAATATATTATATTATGTAATAACTTATTATATTATGTCTAAGTATTTTGTTATTCACATAACGACACACATAACTTAACTGTAATAAACTCTGATTAATAATTATTTATACCTACTTACACATTGACATTTTCTGAAGAGGTTGTAATTATCCTTGTTGTTCACTGATGTTAAACGAGGATAAATAATACATGGATGCATCCAGAAAAATTTCCGAACACAGTCCAATAAGCATATATATAATTTTTCCAAGTATCGTGACGTCGCAGCAAAAGTTGGACGAAGTGAACATTTCTCGTACGCGACAAGCGAATGAATCGAACTGCGTATGATTACACAAAAAGCAAAATTAATTGAAAAATATAATCTTATACATAACTTCGATATATGTAACAAAACATCTTAGGCTGGAATCAGACTACGCATTGAAAATTGAGATTGGAGATTGAAAATTGAAATTTGACCAATGAGGATAATGAAATTTTAACTCCTATTATTTTGATTAGCCAAAATTCAATCTTTCAATCTTCAATCTCAATCTTCAATGTGTAGTCTGATTCCGGCCTTACAACCTCTACTTCAACATATATAATAATTCAATATGTCACAAGAACAAGATTATTATCAAGATTATGAATATTTAGATGATACGGAATGTATGTTGGACATTACAATTGTTTCAAACGTTCTATAATCTTAACTCATTGTATTTAATGCCCAACACTATAGTGATTATATTTAGACGTAGTTGGTAGCACCGTAATGTAATAGAGTCGCCTGTCTATCTTAGTTCGCTCGATTACTGCTTATATAGATTATTATATCGTGAATAGCGGTTTAGCCGCGTTATCTTTTCCCTAACTCCGTTTGTTAATAACAATTGGTTTTTCTTTTCTTTTCTGTGCTCCTCAGAGACACAAGCTGCTTGTTTTTTTTATTGCACAATAAATTGAGTCTGTTTATTTGATTACAAGTGCTTGTTTAATTTCACACACGGATAATTCCATTGACGCAGCACGTGGCAACAGGTTATGGGCCCAGTGTCTGAATAGAACAGCAAAAAGATGAGTATCGAAACAAAATTTGCTATTGTCAAATTAAACAATACGAATTATTTTGTATGGAAATTTAAAATGCAATTACTCTTAACGAAGGAAGATACGTGGGAGACCATCATAAGTAGTCCGCCGAATCCAATGACAGATGCATGGAAAAAGAAAGATTCTCTTGCATATGCAACTATCGGATTGAACGTGGAAGATGAACAACTGGTGCTCATTAGAAGCACAAATGCTAGAACTGCATGGAATGCCCTGAAAACGTATCATGAGAAGAGTAGTGCAAACAGCTTGGTTAGGCTCACAAAACGCGTTATGAATATGAAATTAGAGGAAGGAGCAGATTTAGAAATGCACATTGCACGCATAGCAGAAGCGTTTCAGCAATTGCATGACATAGGCAAAGAATTGAAAACAGATGATTGGCATGTTGCCGTCTTGCTCGGTAGTTTACCTGAAAGTTTCAGTACCTTGGTGACTGCGTTGGAATCGAGAGAAACCGAATTGACAACGGCCATAGTAGAGCAACGTTTATTGGATGAATGGAATAAACGCAAAGATAAAATCTCTAATGAGGCAGAAGGTACGATGGCTTTGCGCGTGAGTACCAACACGCGAGTTAAGAACCGAGAAGACATTACATGCTATTTTTGTAAAGAAAAGGGACATATTAAGCCTAAGTGTTCAAAATACAAAAAGTATCTGAAGGAAAAGAAAGAAAACGGAAAAGAGAAGGAAAAAGGAGATGCTAATAAACAGCAGGCTTTAGTAGACGCTGAAGAGAAGAGTGATTTCTTATTTTTGACCTCAAAATTTAATCAGGGATGGATAGTCGATTCAGGTGCCACATCGCATGTTACGTCCAACAAAGATATGTTCGCACAACTTAATAATAATCATCAGGAGAAAATCTTTGTGGCTAATGGACAACGAGTAGCAGTGGAGGGAATTGGCATGATACACATCCATGTAATGAACGAGGATGGAAAAGCGCACTCGATCAAGATTCAAAATGTCTTATATGTGCCTTCGATTAATGGAAATCTACTGTCGGTCCGCAAGCTTGTAGCAGATGGATTTAACGTCAATTTTATTCCCAATGGAAATTGTAACATCATGCTTGGTGATGTGCAAGTAGCTACAGCAATATTGCGAGACAACTTATACGTATTGAAGCAAGTAGACAAAGTGCTGATAACACAGCAGGATGGTCATCCGGAGAATTGCATACATGAATGGCATAAAAGGTGTGGACATCGTGATTTAGAAGTCATGAAGCGTTTGAGTGCAGATGGATATGTCAGTGGTGTTGACATAATAAACTGTCCAATTAATGAGACATGCGATATATGTCAACAAGGAAAAATGACACGAATACCATATCCAAAAGCAGCACAAAAACAATCTGAGAAAGCGTTGGACCTAATTCACACAGACGTTTGTGGTCCAATGCAGACAGCGACACCTTCGGGCAAAAGGTATGTGCTTACTTTTATTGATGATCATACTAAGTTTTGCGTGATTTATCTGTTGCAGCACAAATCAGAAGTATCAAGTAAATTGAAAGAATACGTTCAATTGGTGCTAACGAGGTTCAATAAACGACCAAAGATTATTCGCTCAGATCGTGGTGGTGAATATACTAGTAATGAGGTCATCAAATATCTTAACGAAAATGGCATACAAATGCAGTATACCGCAGCATACAGCCCGCAGCAAAATGGCGTAGCTGAGCGTAAAAATCGAACGCTCATCGAAATGGCACGCTGCATGATTATTGAATCGAAATTGGATAATCGGTTCTGGGGAGAAGCTGTGATGATGGCCAACTACGTACAAAACCGTCTACCATGGAAATCAGTTGAAACAACTCCATATGAAGGATGGTTTGGTCGAGTACCAAATATTCGCCATTTCAGGCCATTTGGATCAAGATGTTACGTATACATTCACGCAGAAAAGCGACAAAAATTAGATCCGAGAGCTGTTTCGATGGTTCTAGTCGGCTATGACGATAAGTCAAAAGCGTATCGCTGTTATAACTCACTAACACGGAAGGTGGTTGTTAGTAGAGACGTGAAGTTTCCCATCAAAGAGGAGATTTCTGAAATTTGTATAAAAGAAGAGTCCTTAGATACGGAATCGACAACCGAATCGCATGAAGATTTGAGGGATCCACACGATGAGAATTCAGATGAAACAACATATTATTCAGACACAAGTGACGAGGAAGATACCGATGCTATCCTACCAAGAAGATCGGAGAGGAAAACAAAGGGTCTACCACCAAAGCGTCTGATAGATGAATTGAATATTGTCCGCGACGGAATAAAGGAACCAAAGAGCTATAAAGATGCTGTGACTAGTTCATTCAAGCACGAGTGGATTAAGGCGATGCAAGAAGAAATGATGTCCCTTGAACACAACCAAACATGGGAACTAGCAGAACTACCACATGGTAAGCTGGCAATTGGTTGTAAATGGATATACAAGCTGAAGCGTGGATCAGACGGCACTATCCGTCGTTTCAAAGCGAGATTGGTAGCACAGGGTTATTCGCAAAAATATGGCGAGGATTATGACCGAGTTTTTGCACCAGTCGTGAAGCACTCAACGTTTCGCATTCTACTCGCATTAGCAGCAAGGAATGATATGGAGTTATACCATATGGATGCGAAAACAGCATTCTTAAACGGGACCATAAACGAGGACATATATATGAAGCAACCCCCTGGATTCGCAGCAGAAGATAAACTCAATCTGGTATGTAGGTTGAAAAAGAGTTTGTATGGGCTGAAACAATCGGCCAGATCCTGGAATCAAACTTTACATGCAGTGCTATCATCAGGATTCACACAAGGCGAAGCGGATCCTTGTTTTTACAGTAAGAAATTCAAAGATAATTGGTGCTATATCCTTATTTATGTTGACGACATCATTGTTGCCAGTAAAAGACATGATGTAATTGTACAAGTTGAGTCAACACTAAAATCAAGATTTACAATTGAAAATTTAGGTCCAATCAAGGAATATTTTGGACTCAAAATTTCTAAAGATACAGATAATATATATAGCATCGATCAATCAGCATATATCAACGAAATAATTAGTGATTTTTCATTGTCTGATGCTAAGGCTTCAGAAGTACCTATGAATAGCAACTATGAGAAAGATATTAATGAATTTGATATTCTACCGGATACCAATAACTACCGAAAATTGATTGGTCAATTACTGTACGTTAGTGTCATTTCACGACCGGACATTTCTGCTAGCGTGAGTATTTTAGCGCAAATGGTCAGCAAACCGACACAACGACACTGGAATGAGCTCAAACGCATAGTTAGATATTTAAAGGGCACAATCAATTTTAAACTGAAACTCGGTAAGGTCAATGTAGACGCTGCACTCGTCGGATACGCCGATGCTAATTGGGCAGAATGTAGACAAGATCGCAAATCAAATAGCGGTTACATTTTCTTTGTATTTGGAGCCGCGGTAAGCTGGCGTTGCAGAAAACAACGGTGTGTAGCCCTGTCAACCATGGAAGCCGAGTACGTGTCACTTTGTGAAGCTGGACAGGAGGCAATATGGCTGAGACGGTTATTAAAGGATTTTAATATCAGCATAAAGACACCAACGGTCATACATGACGACAATCAAAGCTGCCTGAAGTTCATTGAGGAAGAAAGATTGTCGAACCGAAGCAAGCATATTGACACCAAGACACATTTTCTTCGACATCTCGTGAAGAATCCTGCACATATTGTCCGAGCGAAGAAATTATCGCTGATTTATTAACAAAGCCACTGGCAGCAGCACGGATAAAGAAGCTACGTGAGAGTTGTGGCTTGTATGTTTGTAACAATTGAGGAGGAGTGTTGGACATTACAATTGTTTCAAACGTTCTATAATCTTAACTCATTGTATTTAATGCCCAACACTATAGTGATTATATTTAGACGTAGTTGGTAGCACCGTAATGTAATAGAGTCGCCTGTCTATCTTAGTTCGCTCGATTACTGCTTATATAGATTATTATATCGTGAATAGCGGTTTAGCCGCGTTATCTTTTCCCTAACTCCGTTTGTTAATAACAATTGGTTTTTCTTTTCTTTTCTGTGCTCCTCAGAGACACAAGCTGCTTGTTTTTTTTATTGCACAATAAATTGAGTCTGTTTATTTGATTACAAGTGCTTGTTTAATTTCACACACGGATAATTCCATTGACGCAGCACGTGGCAACAGTATAAACCAAAGTGATACAGAAAATGTCGATGTAAGAATAAATAAATTATTAATCAGTTTATTACAGTTAGGTTATGTCGTTATGTGAACAACAAAATACTTAAATATTTAAGTATTTTGTATAATTAAATTTGTAACAATAATTATTTTAAATAAATACTATTCATATGAAAAATTTTTAGTCTAATATTGATTCCTCACAACTTAACTTATAAGAATTTGAAGAAATATACGACACACATAACCTAACTGTAATAAACTGATTAATAATTATACTTACATCTTACGTCGACATCTTCTGTAGAGGTTGTAAGATATTTTGTTACATATATGAAGGTTATATAAGATCACATTTAATATAAGATCACATTTTTCAATTAATTCTGCTTTTTGTGTCCGGGTGTATCCATGTATTATTTACCCTCGTTTAATTCGGTGAACAACAAGGATAATATGATACATAGGTGCACTCGAGTGAAGGCAACCTGACGTCGCGTGTCGCGTATCGCGTGTCGCGCATCGCGATTGGTGTGCATGAGCCATTATACTTAAACTCACAAATCTTACTTAAATTGTACAGAGAACTTATATGAAAGCCTCTAGGCCATGATACACACGTATTCAACGATTTTACACACTTTTAATCTAATTTACCAATACATAAGATTCTCGACCAATCAGGATACAACATCATGAACCGCCATTTCATGCAACTAACTAAAAGTGCAAAAACGCAAACATAATTAATTGTTAGCTCTTTAACAACAACCTCCACAACCCATCTAAATCCTTCTTATACTTATGAATGATATATTATCCTAATACCTTTTTTCAGCCACCCATAAATATGATCCTCGCATGAATAACAAATAATAAACCAACTCCCTACTTTAACGATCAAACAACGACAAATTCCCTTTTTACCAGCATGGAATAAAATACCTTTCCTTTTTATCACACCACACGTCATATGCTAAAAAACCTAAACGCCTACGCAAAATTATACAAACCTTTTTTATGAGATACCCCTATTATTTAACATAAAGAAACACATCCTATGATATTCTCCAATAATTCTAATGCATGAATTAACAGTCTAAAAATTATAAAACTAATCATAAACATTTATATATTTAAATCACCTCTTTAACATACCAGAAACCACCAGATCTTATATTCAGAACAACCCTTATAAAAATACCTACCTTTTGATTATACTGACAATATTCTAAGATTCTCAAAACAGCAAAAAAAACCTACAAAATCATTTAACAATTACCTACTTCCAGGAACAGCTAATAATACATAAATGACTCATAATACAAGGAAGATGGTACACATTACAATTCACAGAAACAATTAACATACTTAACTTCCCACGGATTCCTAGACAGAGAACAAAGGAATCAGAGTATCACCTCCTTTGCGACTTAACGGTATAAAAGCGACGCGCTCAACAGAGCAGAGTACAGTAATCAGTAAACAATAATCAGCAATTAGTCGTTAGTTATCAAAGCGTAGAGCGCAGAGTGCAGATTAGTTAGTGAACAGTCGTAAGTCAGTAGTGCTACCGCCAGTCAGGTTGACCGCGATCACAACTAACCCCGTATCCCATCGCGCAACCTTACATTAAACCGAGATATATTAAGTATAACACACTTGTATTCAATATCTTTCAATTAAATATTTTATTCAAATTAAATACATTTTCTTTATTATCATATCTCTACTGGTGGACATAACATCTCAATCTCTCTCTCTCTCTCTCATACGATTACGCCTCCATCGGTCTAATATCTTCATCGACGTGAAGATACTCCAACGCTACAGCTGCAATTCGGCGGACGCTGAATCTTTATTGGCAGCACAGTTATCGTAACTCCAGTCGGATCACTAACCAATTATCCTGGGGTTTTACCTCCTTAACTGCACGGACCTATAATCACATATAAAAATAAATATTAAAAATCAGGTGTCTACGCTCATTGGCAGGTCTTACCAACCAGCTAGGACGTGACAAGTAGATTTTTTGGTGCCAGCTTGTGGGATTATTACTGCTCGATTCCCCCGACGACGACGACGGAATTGCCATTGAATATCACGCCTGAGGGAAGATAATCTTGGATATTTCCTCGACGATAACGGTAACGACGAGATTGCCCGACACTAGTCTCACAATCAGCCGAGATATACAGCCGTGGATATTCTCAATTGTGACACGAGCAACGGCAGAGATAAGGCTACACCCGACTTCTCGATGACTTCTACGAAAATTCTATTACTCAACGTATTCCTCATTGCATCCGATGCGTAAGTCACAAATCATACAAATAATAAATATACATATACGCATACGCAAGCACCGCAAGTCTAAGAATAATTACGCATACACGAGCTCTACAATTCCAAGAATCAAGAAGAATAATAATATATACGCATATACGAATTCAAAAAGAGACAAATCCAAGAAAAAGAATAATAAGAATAATAAGAATACGTAACGCATACATACAAAGAGAGAGAATTCAAGAATAATAATAATAATAATAACGTACAATAAATAACTTCACTCACATACGCAATTACAAAGAGAGAGAATTCAAAATGCACACTGACGAAGTTCACTCATTCACTCACCAAATTCAAAATTTAAACTTCAATGAAGATGGACGACGTTCCGCCCCCTACATCAGTCCACGCGACGCCGCTGAAACAATCCTCCCTTTTGATGGTAAAAATATGCCAGTATCACAATTCATTAATAACTGCATACACGCGAAGAATATGGTATCTCCAACCGCAGAATACGGTCTAGTTCAGATGATTAAAAATAAATTAGTGGGACCCGCTCTAAGAGTTGCTTTAAGTGGAGAATACAATGACATTGAATCATTATTAAATTGTTTAAAAACTCGTTTCGCACCAGTATACTCAACTTCTCAATTACACGGAGAATTGTCAAAAATAATGCAGTACCCCGAAGAAACAGTCGTAGATTATGGTAGTCGTGTATCAACGATTTTGCATCAATTAAAATCTACATATCAAAGTGAAAATCCAACTCAAGCTACACAATTTCTTAGCTTTGCAGAAACTAACGTTGTAAAAAATTTTCTAACTGGATTTAATAATGGCTTATATATGAGACTTCAACCTCGCGAAATTTCAACATTAAATAACGCCATTGAATTTGCAATCAAAGCTGAAACGGATTATAATGAGCATAGGCAAAGAACGAAAATAGCTGATGGTCTTATGCAATCTTTACGCTGTAATAATTGCTCTGGATACGGACATGAATCACTCTCGTACAGTACAGTCAATCCACTAGCACAGTATATACAGTAACTCTCATGATTTCACCGTAGCTAAAAATGAACTGCACATGCGCGGCCGAGGCGCGTAACCAATCAGGGCACTGTATTCTATCTCACTTCTTCTTTCTATTGTCGGTGTCTGTCAGTCCCATTGAAATGTCCATATAAGGCATTTAAAGGACCATTTGACGGAAAGTGGCGGGAACGCGACGAATTTTATGTGAGAAACAGTGAGAATAGTGCTACGTGTGCTAAAGTGATAAGTGATACGTGTTTAATTTTGATAATTATTCAGTGTATTCAGACGTGTTTAAGAAAGTGTAAAAAAACAGAGAACGTAGACCGAGTTAGCTTTACGGAGAATAGGTTATCTGTACAAAAATAGTACAGATTTCAGATTCTCTTGAAGCACTTTGATCTTAGCTTTCTGTTACAGATATTTGGAGAGATTTTAAGAGGCGAAAAAAATGTGTGCTCAAAAATCAAGCGGATAGTGTGTCGTAAAGGACTGTAATAAAAATATTGTAGAAAAACGACACTTTTTTCGGTTTCCAAAGGAACATGACAGGTATAACTTTTTATTTCATTTATTTTCTAAAACACATACTCCCGTTGTAAATGATACGGACGCAATCCGTTGCGGCGTAAAGTGATTCGCACCGCATATCGGGAGAGACCGAGGGCATGAGCGATACCACGTGTGCTGCTTCTGGGGTTTTCTTCGATTGCTTGCAGAATTCTTTCTTCATCTGCCACGTCAATATGCATTCCATCTCCAGCATATTGCCCAGTTCGCAACACTGATCCCGTTTCCCGAAATCGTCGAACACATCTCAAAATAACGTTTGAGTCGGGATGTCTTTCGCGCGCGGGAAAGCGTTCCGCGTAAAGGCGGGCGGCGGCAAAACCGCATTCTCTAGCTACACCGTACATGATAATCATGTCAGTGTATTCCTGGAGAGTATAACTTGCCATTTTTTTGGAATAGGCGCGATGTTGTGGTCCGCACGTTAGATACTGGACGACTGAAAGATTGATCGTTTTGAAGAAACAAATGAAGTTGATAACAAATGAACAACGTTTTTCCTGCGCGCGAAAGGCATCCTGATGTATATGTTGTTTTGAGATGTATTCAACGGGTGCAGCAGCTTCTCGCGAGAGACGAAGAGTCGAGCATCTGTTTTTGTGAAGATATTTGTCTTATCTTTATAAAATTTCGCTGTTTTTAAGAAATATTAACTGTCAGCGAAATGTAACGCAGGATTGCTCGCGCAGTGTCGGCGGAATGTTCTTTTCCCCGACCGCATCCTGTGGACGGACGAAGCAACCTTCACACCGAACGGTGTGTTTAATTCAAGGAATAATTTATACTGGGCTGAAGAAAATCCGCACATTATTCGCCAAGGTGCATTTCAGTATCGTTGGTCGATTAATGTGTGGGCAGGAGTAGTGGCGAACCGAATCGTAAGTATAGTAATAGATTTATAATTTAAGGATTTCTATCTCTCTCTCTCTCTCTCTCTCTCTCTCTCTCTCTCTCTCTCTCTCTCGTACTTTTTAAAATCGCAATTTTGTCATAATTTTCAGATCGGTCCATTCTTTCTCCTGCCACGGCTAACGGGACCAGTATACGCCGACTTTTTGGAAAATGAGTTGCCGATCTTTCTCGAAGACGTTCCTCTTCGCGAACGGGAGGAACTCATTTTCCAACATGACGGGGCTCCTGCGCACTTTGCGCGACAGGTACGTGACATATTAGATACGCGCTATCCGGACAAGTGGATGGGTCGACGTGGCCCAATCATTTGGCCGCCGCGGTCGCCGGATCTTAACGTGCTCGACTATTTTATTTGGGGTCACATCAAAAATTTAGTCGAGCACATTCGTAATGGTACTGAAGCTGAGGCACGAGAAGCGATTCTCGCAGCTTTCAATACCATTACACCAGAAATGGCGCACCGTGCGACGCGCAATATTACTCGAAGAGCCGAAATCTGCTTACGAGAGCGAGGACGGCACTTCGAACAATTCTTGCATTAAAATGCAGGAGTGGGTTACCTACTGGGGATACCACTTAAAAAAAATGCGCCATGCTATCTACCGCCAGGTGGTGCGGAAATGATAGCGCTTGTCAAATTGTTTATTTTCTTTTCATAAAGCTCTGGGAATTTTTTCAGAATTTTTTAGTACCGTATTTTCTCATAAAAACAGTTGTTAATAAGAAAATGCAGCACTAAAAGGTTGATAAAAATTTATGAAAAAATTTTTAGAACTTTATGAAAAGAAAATAAACAATTTTTGTCTCTTGCTGTTTTTCTATAAAGTTGATAGTACTTGAGTGAAAAATTCTTGAATATTAATATTTTAGTAATTAATATCTTATTAACTATTGCGAAAATTACAATGGTAAAAGGCTTTTCGTCTCAGGTCAGTCCAGTCTAACTTATTAATGAACGTTATCGGTACAATTAGAATACACTTAAATAAATATTTAAAACAATTCATATTTATAATATTTTTCTGTATGTACACGGGCATGTACACGCTTTAGAGCGAACTAAATTGAGTTCTCAAAAAGATTTCGATCATTTCCCGATTTTCGCAGTCAAAATATTAATTTCTGAAGCGCCGAATATTCGCTATCGCGATAGCTAGCCGCGCGAAGAGTGGGGATGGTTGGCAAGCGCTCCGCCGCCCGCACCGCGCACACCGCCGCTAGCCCCCAAACGTCCGCTTCGCGCTGCCCGCGCGCCCGTCGCGGTGTTCTGTAGGCGTACACTCAATGGTATGGTAGGCTGGGCGAACGCACGTATTTGCCAATCTTTAAAAATGAATATCTCGTTAACTATTGTTGCAATCCCAAAATGTTACAGGACTTTTCGACTCAGTATAGTCTGTTCTACCCACCCATGAAATATTTGGCGGTTATTCTCGCCCATCCTGTATATAACATATATGGGGCATTCCACATGAACTCAACCAGCCTGAAAATAGGAAAGTTTTCCAATCACTTTAAAATTTTTATAATCAATAGTCCTACCAACAACAAAGTTTCTGTTAAAATTTTGTTGAGCTAGTGCAACGGGTTGCCAAGTTACAGGGGCTTGAATTTTGTCCACTCCAACCATCAGATGTACTTTGTAAGATACATAACTTGTCTTACAATATTCCGATTTGAACAAAAAAGTAGTGTTTTGGAAAGCTTTTTTCACGTACTTTCATAATAAAATAAGTATTATTTAAAAAACTTGTAAATTTGGCGTTATTTTTCAAAATTAATCTTAAATGTCTATTTTTCTCAAAGATGGGTATCTTCGATTCGAATAGAAAAAATTTAGAAAAAAAGAAGGATTCTTTCCTAACAAAAAAGTCTCTAAGTTCCAAGATGGTGAATTCAGTAGTTTTTGAGATACAGACAGATTTATGAGCGGATGAACGGAACGCGCTTCATGCCGAGTCGCGCCATATTGCCTTGCGTCCGCGAGGCGCGCCGAGAG